ATGTATACAATGTATTAATGTCACTTAGTAGCCTGGTACATGTATACAGTGTCTCAGTGTCACTTAGTAGCCTGGTACATGTATACAGTGTCTCAATGTCACTTAGTAGCAAGGTACATGTATACAGTGCATTTAATGTCACTTAGTAGATTGGTAAGTGTATACAGTGTATTTAATGTCACTTAGTAGGTTGGTACATGTATACAGTGTATTAATGTCACTTAGTAGCAAGGTACATGTATACAGTGCATTTAATGTCACTTAGTAGCCTGGTATATGTATACAGTGTATTTAATGTCACTTAGTAGCAAGGTACATGTATACAGTGCATTTAATGTCACTTAGTAGATTGGTACACATATACAATGTATTTAATGTCACTTAGTAGCCTGGTACATGTATACAGTGTCTCAATGTCACTTAGTAGCCTGGTACATGTATACAGTGTGTTAATGTCACTTAGTAGCCTGGTAGATGTATACAGTGTCTCAATGTCACTTAGTAGCCTGGTACATGTATAGTGTATTTAATGTCACTTAGTAGATTGGTACGTGTATACAGTGTCTCAATGTCACTTAGAAGTCTGAACATGTGTGCTTTGTAGTTTACAATAATCAGCCTGCTCATTTTATCTAGTTAAAAACAGAAAATTTCACCCTGTTTCTCTAAATCATGTTCCATAAAAATATTAAAAAATTGTTTTTTTGTTACCATAAGGTATAATAAGGGATTTTTTTTTCACTCAGTACTTTATTAGTTGTAAAACAAGTTCTTTCATTTCTTTATATGAAATTCAAAAAGCAAAGTAAGAGGAAGAAACAGCTTTCATAGAGAAAACATCACAGTATGAGTTTCTTCCTACACAAATGGATCTTTGTTTACTACAAGCAGGAAGTGTATTTAATACATATCTGCACTGTCTTTCACCAACTGTACTTGTACAGTTTACTGTACTTAGCCTTTCAGCTGCAACTACAAATTAAAGGGGTGAAAATAAAAAATCTGTGATTAAAACCAGTAGCTTCAGAAACTTTATATTTAATGTTTCAATTATTACCACACTGATATTTTAAACATGAGTAGACAATGAAACTTCAGAAATATAATAACAGAGACCTCACAGTTGTGAGTGTATTTTCTAATACATGCCATCTATTTAAAACCTATCTATGCTGTTGACATTCTGACACCTAAACATGTCTACAAAGCATAACAGTCATGTCTCTCCCTCCACAACTGACATCACATTAATTTGAAAGTACATTTAAAATCACTGAAGAATTAAACAATAGACATGTATACCACATTTTATATTAAAAAAACATATAATGCTTCCTTAGTCAGAACATGGGAATATATTCGTGATTTCTTTTTTAAACAAAGCTTGACAAAAATTAATAAATTTCAAAACTTAATTTCTTCATAGATGTACAGATAAAACCTGTATCTATACGATATATATGGCACTGTACCAAACATATGGTAAATTACTCCAATGCTTCAAGATTATTGGCTGAAATATATTATATACATATTTATTTTAAATAATAGTATGCACCTACCTGTTTTTAAGAGACTTACATGTATAATACGTACATATGCATTTCTAGAAATCTTATTTCTCTGTGCACTGGTTAAAACTTATATTTCAAGTTTCTTCAAGATAACACACATCACAGACCTTTTACTTCAAATGTTTAAAGTTTTTAAAACTTGAAATAAGACAAAACTGATGAATCATAATTTCACACTCAAACAGAAACTTTATTGTGATTCCACCTCTATCAACTTTCACATTGTTTCCTAATGCAATAGATTAGATTATTTCCAACAGTCTGACTATGTATAACCAACCATCATGTAAAGGTACAACTAAAACAAGGAAGAACATTTAATAAAATACAGAACACCAAAACGTAAATTTGAAATTAATCTAAGTGACGATACATTAAAAACAATAATGTAACAGCAGAAAATGTATTTATTAAATAGCTGCACACTAATTTTATAATAATAATACATGTCTTATTTGAAATACTGATTTATTTTAATAGAAGGAAAAGTCACACTGTTATGAAGAGTCAAAAATGGTGTTGTTCTTGAACACTCATGTTTAGAAAATTCCCTAACAAATAGATATACACATCTTAGAAGCTGTATATCCTCATTTTGAAATTTTCATTTGCACAATATTTTTTCTTATTGTTTAAAGTATAAATTAAATATCATTAACTACTGTGGGTTTACAACCAGATTTTAATAAACAATACAGCACCTTCAATTGTTGAAATGATTTGAAAAGTCCTCCATTATTGACCAACTGATGTTGTTTTCCCACAAAAAACAAAAAAACAGCAATGTTCCAAATTGTACGACATAAATTCTAAGTCTCATTCTTCCTGCTTCATTAAAAACAAAGAAATTTATCAACTAATATACCAAATATTTTATTAACAGAATATTAGAATCTATCTATATAATCAACTAACAAATGTTATTTATGTTAGAAAAAAAGCTGGAATTAACAATGTGAAATCTAAACCACAATTGTAAGTACTTTCTAAGATCTTGTTGTAGAATAAATTCACAGGGGGCAATCTATAAACTTCTCGATATAATTATTTTATGATTTTGATGACAAACCAAGACACTGGCAAAAAATAAGCTACTATAAAAAAACACTTGTTCTAGGCCTAAATCTTAACTCTATCAATTCAACTTATAAAGTAACAAGGATTTGACACACTCTACCCAGGATCGCCTAACTTTGTTCAAATGTGAGGGAGGGAGGAGAATATGCTTGGAAAACTTTATTTTATACTATGGTTAAGAATATCTGACAAGCATAAGAAACATTTTTTTTATTACTGTTCTTACAGGTAACCTACTAATGGTGGTACTAATGCTTTGGACATGACAATATATTGAACTAATGTACTAATGGTAGTACTAATGCTTTGGACATGACAATATATTGAACTAATGTACTAATGGTACTAATGGTAGTACTAATGCTTTGGACATGACAATATATTGAACTAATGTTTCATTAGTTCAATATATTGTCATGTCCAAAGCATTAGTACTACCATTAGTACATTAGTTCAATATATTGTCATGTCCAAAGCATTAGTACCACCACGCACGTGTCTAATAATCATAACACTGATCATTTTATCAATCTAACATACTTGTTAATATTGCCCTTAGAAAACAAACTTCACAACTTAGAAAGAGGGTCATGTAGGTTTCTCCTCTTGTAATCAAAATGTCCTGTGTATTAGGTGCCTTTGATAAAGGGGTTGCCTATGCCCCTACTTTGATAAAGGGGTGTCAGGTTATTCAAACATGTAGTCATTTGTATTTTTACTGATTGATTTTCCACTAACAGAGTTATTGAAATTTACTTTATATACTAGTTGTCTTTTTAATGCATTGATCATGAAAACTGAGCTTACTGTTAGCCTAAATATTATCAATATAAAGATGACTACGTGACGAACAACACAATATTCACCAGGCAAGTCTTCCAAAACATATATACAATGTTTGCTAGATGTTTCAGAGTTACATAATCACCGAATTCTCTAAGTAGTCACATTATGCATACACACACTGAGCCCAGGGTTGATTTTTAAAACATGGAAGAGACAGTAGAGATTTAGAAGTCTTTTCATCCAGGAGAGATAACATTTACTAGAGTTAGTATTGTATGTTTACTGATGAAGAAACAAACAAGTCTCTTCACCAGTTTCCTCTTATACTTCTTTCTGCATGTTTATACCACCACCCAGTTCCAGAAAATTGTAACATATCCTTAAGACTAAGTACAGATACTTCCTTCAAATCAAAAAGTGGTTTGCATATTAAACAATTCATACATTTTAAACAAAACTTGAACTTTTCTGGATCAAAAAAAGGAAGACAAAATAAACCAACAGATCTAAACGAACGTTTTTACTAAAGCTTTACACAGATCCTTCAGCTAATTCACTATTCAAGTAAGTCGTTTTTTTTAAATCCATTTAAAATCTACAACAGCAGGTACATCACCTTTACATGTTTGCCAGATTCTTCTGACTGAAGAAGGTTATTATTTTACACCTACTGACGTAGCTAATATTAAGTATGCCAGCGGTCGGTACCCGTATGTAAGTTTGTTTTGGACGTAAAATAATTCTAACGAACGTGACAATTTCAAGCGGAACAAAGAACTCTTGAACTTGAAAGCGAAATCTTCAGACCGAATCACTACAGACAAGACTAGGTGGCAATGGCATTTTCAACGAGTCAGCAACAACCACTCGACTAGCCATCCATCCCCCAGGGTCAGGCGTAACATATTGCGGAGACCGCCGTAGCGTGGAGCCTGCGCCCGCGGCAAGCACGTCCAGCTAAGCAGCTGCCTCGCCCTAATCCTAAGATCGGCGATTATGGCTTAGTGCCTCTTTGTTCCCTAACATATATGTATAATTTTTTAAACTTACCCACTTGCAGAACATTTTCAACACATCCAGTTTCGTATAATCGTAATCCACGATAAAAAGGCAATTTCTGAAGGTCCGTACAACCACTACTTTCACTTGAAAGCGATGAATACATACAAATATTCTTCTCGTTCCGAGGAAAAGACCAATAAATTATCCGTCTCTGAACAGGCTCAGGTATGCGGTCATATCTTTCTTCAATTCTCTGGAATGGGATATGTAAAGCCACCACTTTAGCACTAACATCTAGTAAACTATCTGGGCACCTAGCAGTAACTGTTTTTGAATCGTTGTTCATTAATATATCGTTGTTTTGCATGGAATTACCGCCTACCCGAATACAACACAACCTCTTCGCCGCCGCCATCTTGAAACATCTGATATATCATTTGTTAGACGCATGCGTATTACATTAAAAATAGATATCCATAACCAGGGCCCAATCTAGTGATTTTAAAGTTGACAGTCCTTAAAAAATAATTATTTTATTTTCAGTTCATGAATTATATACAATTTGAATGTAATAGGGGTGTGTGTTTTTCTGTATTAATGTACGTGTTTCCGAGTTAAGTGAAAACCAGCTTTCGGTGATGATGATGTTCGACAATTCTCGATTTTATGTATAGACAAAAAAATGATATGTAGACATTCATCGAAAAAGGGCAATTACATAAAAAGCACGTTGAATTGAGAGCAATTAAACTGTTTACTTTGCACTAAGTCAATCAAGTTAGGCCGTAAAGTCTATTTAACGCTTGAAGTATCACGTTTTATTAGGCGTTTTGAATTTTTCAGTTATTGTAGTCAGTGTAGTGGGTTGTTCTTCTAAATATTCTAGAAGTGTTTATAAATTTGATTATTATCCAGCTTACACCAAAAACATGTTTTAAACGATCGAAGTGTTGAAATTAAAAATGAGAATTATTACTAGGTAACACTGAACTAATATCAATCATTGGTGTTTTATTACTGAACGCACTCTCTGTTCTACTGGCAGCTGTTATTGGTATTATAAAATACATATAATTTATGTGTACGTGTGTGAATTTACTAATATTTTGAATAAAATTTAAACAAAACTTATCTGAAAAAATATCTAATGTTAACACCATGACTAACGAACGGTCTACGAGTTTGTCGGGGCAGGGAATCGGTGACAGGGCATGGACAAAACAACTAGTTTGTGTTTTGTGAGTAACGATTAATAGGAAGTTATATTCTGTCCTTTCTGTAACGAAATTTTCTGTAACAATATTGATTTATTTATCTTTTTATAAACGTTTCTCTTTGTTGTGAAGATTATTTGAACTCTTAATTTAGAATATGGATTTAGGCCTAACCTAAATTCCCTAATCTGACAGAACCAGATGAGATATTATTGGAATTCTGGCCGCAAGTATCACTAATAGCAAGTATATCCAACTGATAAGTCAATGCATTCTAACAGATACGGTTCAAATGGTATATTGTAATAATTACTTATTTGTAAGTGGTTTATTGTGATTAGAAGTTAATAATATGTAAATTACACTTTGCTGTTTGTTTGTTTTTAATTATGCACAAAGCTACACAATGGCTATCTGTGCTCCGCCCACCACGGGTATCGAAACCCGGTTTATAGCGTTGTAAGTCTACGTACATACCGCTGTGCCACTGGGGGGGAGGGGGTACACTTTGCTAAAGATATAAACTTATACAAAATTCAACTAAGAAAAATATATATTACTCAAATAAAACAATAATATCTGGAAAATCGAATCAAACTTTATAATGTGTTAGTTTCCTCATCTACTTATGATAGTTTGACTTTCTTTTAAAGCAAATCCACACTGGGCTATCTGATATGTCCACAGTGGGGAATCGAACCCCGGATTTTAGAGTCGTAAGTCTATGGACTCCCTGAAGTCCCACCAGGGGACGTTTAACGTAGTTATTGTTCGGTAATTCGCTCTTCCTCAGTAACATCTCTCTTAATAGTAATGTATTCCAGACACTAATACACAAAACGTTTTGTGATTGTTCTTTAACCACACGTCCAGGAGAAAACGACTGCTTGTTCTTGTTAAATAAAATAAGTATTTCTTTCCTGGAGGGGTGTTTAAGAAATCTAACTTCTTCTGTACAGTAAGATACGTTTCGGGTTATTCAGACTACTGTTTATGTGTACTATATACCATTCATTAACAATGCCTGTACGTTGATAAAATAAATGTTGGAAACATAATTCATTGTATGAAATAGAAATATTGGAGAAAGCCGAATAACCCTGCTCGACAAGTTCTGAAGAAGGAAAGACAACACTGAGTTATATTTGAACTCAGTTTTAGCCTCCCGGTGAGTCAACGATAAGTTTACGGAATTACAAGTCTTAACATCAAGGGTTCGATTCACCGCGTTGGACAGACGACAGACATGCTAACCCCAGAGGTATAATAAGTATATGAATTTCGAATGTAAATATCCTACTTGGGTTTATATCTCTTTAAATTACATAAGATATCGAAGAGAAGATATAGGGAATATTGAAGGGTCTGTTTTTATTCTTTGTCGCTCACACCCTACGTATATGCACATTTTTTTTTAAATGTTGCTTTTAAGCAATCTCATAATTAATGTAAATGTCGGTTTTCTGGTTTATAGGTTCTGACAGGTGACTTACAGACGGAAAGGATTCTGACGTTAGCCACTTTTTTTTTCTTACAATTTTTATTCACAGCACAACTTTCCATCAAACGCTTGGGGCTTGCATACTGCATTATCTTGTTGACGTGGGCTTCATTTTCTGTCGTTGGCAGAAATACTGCATTGGCTTACTTGTACAGAAATACCGTATTATATTACCTGTACACAAATAATGTATTATCTTACTTGTACACAAATAATGTATTACCTTACCTGTACGCAAATAATGTAGTACCTTACCTGTACACAAATATTGTATTACCTTACCTGTACACAAATAATGTAGTACCTTACCTGTACACAAATATTATATTACCTTACCTGTACACAAACACTGTATTACCTTACCTGTACACAAATATTGTATTGCCTTACCTGTACACAAACACTGTATTACCTTACCTGTACACAAATATTGTATTACCTTACCTGTACACAAATATTGTATTACCTTACCTGTACACAAATAATGTATTACCTTACCTGTACACAAATATTGTACTACCTTACTACACAAGTACTGTATTACCTTACCTGTTCACAAATATTGTATTGTTTAACCTGTACACAAATAATGTATTACCTTACCTGTACACAAATAATGCAGTACCTTACCTGTACGCAAATAATGTATTACCTTACCTGTACACAAATATTGTATTACTTTACCTGTACACAAATACTGTATTACCTTACCTGTACAGAAATACTGTATTACCTTACCTGTACACAAATATTGCATTACTTTACCTGTACACAAATACCATATTAGCTTACCTGTACACAAATAATGTATTACCTTACCTGTACACAAACACTGTATTACCTTACCTGTACACAAACACTGTATTACCTTACCTGTACACAAACACTGTATTACC